CTCTTATGTGTAATCCCATTGTGCTGTGATGTTTGTAATCATTTATTTGTAACCCTGTAGCGGGAGCTTGGCATGTATTATCATTATTATTGTACTCATCATGAGAGAGAACATGTACTATTATGTTTCTATTACTCAAGGGTAATAGATATTTTTAATTAAAAAAAAATGGACCTAAATTTCAGGCTCTTGGTAATGTTTTTGAGTAATTAAAAATTTGGGGCGTGACAGGAGAGCTACTAAAGGGTAGAGAGAGTTAACACTCTTTTTTACACCTTCACCTATAGCTCAAACCCTTGCTTTTACACTTTTTCTTTGATTTCTAAATTGATTTTCAGAGTTAAAAAGAGGCTAAAAATCATGCTTTGAGGTTTCAAAAGTGAAGGGGTTAGCCACCCCTCCTTGTTCTTGCTTACTAGCCTTGTTTTCCTTCTTTGTTGTTTAGCTTTTTAGGCTCTTTTCATGCATTTTGAGCTACTGTTTTTCACCCATTAAGGGCTGTTTTAGGGTTGTCTTAGGTTGTTTAATTAGTTCATGCTTTGATTAGTTTGCTTACTGTCTCATAAGTTTGCATATATAGCTTGTTGCATGTTGTTCTAGGCTTTTCTTTAACTAATTTCCATGTTTAAGAACCTCATTTTAACAATCAACTTACCATTTATTTGAGAGTTATTTCAATCGGTTGACGGTTATTTAAAACATGAACTAGGGATCTATGCTTAATGGCTTAATCTCTACGGAGGTTCATTGTCAATGGCATAATCTCTTTTTCATGTTGAAAATCACTTCTCGTTTGACTTATTTCTTACTTAGTGGACGTAATCTTTAGTGGACGTAACAATCACCTTGGACAAATAGGTTAAAGAATGACAAAGACTAATAAATTTGGCTTAAAATGAATCAACCCACATAAAGAAAATGAAGTATATTGCTTGGGTTTGGCCAGACGTTATGCTGAGTCCATCATGTCAAGGGTCGTCATACGTCAATCCATGATGTTTTGATGATCCTTGAAGCGTCTTTACCTCTCTCTTTGAGTTCACTCTATGATAGGAGGGAGGGGTGGTTGTTGTTCATTGCATTTATTGATTTTTTGTCCAAATTATATTCGAAATCATCAAGCAATCAACTTGCTCATTAATGGTTTTAGAAACGATTCCAATCTTCTCTTAAGGCTTTCCCATGACAGAGAAGCGTGGGAGGGACAAATAGAGTTCAGAATGACTTTGTCTGCACTGTTTTCACTTCAGAGTACAAAACAGGATTTTGCATAAAATTAAGGCACGACCGGCCTTATTTAGACCTGGTTGGGCCTCATTATGGCACAACCGGCCATCAATGTTTGGTCAGTAGTATGTTTTGCAGAAATAACATATGGCAGTGGCTAAAGGTGAAACAGAACAGGCCTAGGCAGACAGAGTTGTTCTTGGACACTGTGCATGCAACCTTTGTGCATCCTTGCATGCATCATTGTTGTAAATTAATGCTTCGAGTATTGTTATTATTGTTACAATTAGTCTTGTGGTAATTATTATTATTATTATTATTATTATTATTGTTGTTGTTGTTGTTGTTGTTGTTGTTGTTGTTGTTGTTGTTGTTGTTGTTTATTTGCAATTGTTATAGCTAATTAACTTAGATAGCTAGTTTATTTCTCATTATTATCCTTGTTGTAATACAGTAGCTAGTTAGTTAATTATTTAATTTATTCATTCCGTTTTGTAATTATTAGTTTAATTCGGACTTTCGGACTTTGATTCGCATCCTCTTGCACGAGGGCAAATGTGTAATAAGTTGTATATCTTCAAACCCCACGTCTTTCTCCTTTTTACTTACTTGCTTACGATGGTTAGTATAAAACATCATTTTTCAAATTAGCATTCTTATGGGTTGTATCCATTGTCTTGCATGCATTCAAGGTTCGGCTCATCATACTAACCTAATATCAATGTCCCAATTCATTGCTTGAATATGTGCTTTGTCGCATGTCTTGAATGGAATTATATGCCATGCTCATAGTCGAGCCTATAAATTACATAATGTGTGTATTGCATTTAGTCATATTGCGCTAATTAGGAGCATGCATATTTTTCTAATTATTTTGCTTTGTTTTGGCTCGGAGTACTAGGTGAGCAATTTTGAGTTTTAGCATCTTGCATCGAATGTTCGTGTTGCCATGCCAAGCATACTTCCATGAGGCTACTTGCTTAAATGATATAACTGTTTGAATGCCTGTGGATGACGGCTAATTGCCTGAATTGTGATAATTTGATTAATGTCCATTTTAAGCCCACTTTTTCAAGTGGCATACTCACAAACTCTTTTCAAAAAACAAATATGAAATCAAATGTTCCAATTATTATAAATTAGTCTATACTTGTGTGCGTCACTTAATAAAAATAGCTAATAAAACTGGAACAAGAGCATATAACATAAATAAAAATTACATCATGATTAGTAGATGCTGATCTTTGATCGGGCGAGTACGGTGCTCAATCCATGACCTACCCCTCTCGTACCTAAGTTCCTGAGCCGAGACACTTTGGTGATGACGGATAAGTGGCATTTGGCACAAGTCTCAGGTTTCCTAAATTTTTCAAAAATATTTAGGTGGCAACTCTGAAATCTGGCAAAGTAATCCATTTTTGGCATTTGATTCAAACATCGATTTTCCAAAAGAATTGCCAGATTTGGACTCTTTTGTGTTTTCACTATTTCACGGTTTCACATTGCACTTTGTGAAATTAGATTCAGAACCACAGAGTCCAAACTGTAGGGCTAGTTGTCTTTCGAAAGAAGCACGAAAAGTGAGCTATAGACACATGTACACCAGCCGTTAAAAATATTGAACGTTTCACGGTGTACAAAAAGTCAGCCGTTAAAAATTTCACTTTCCACGACGCACAAAAAGCCAACCGTTTAAAATATTGCACTTTTCATGACACACAATTGCTGTCATCAAAGGTATGACCAAAAAAAAAAGAAAAAGAAAAAAAGAGGAGCGTCAAAATGAAAAAAAAAAACTCTTGTGCCAAATACCAAAACTTTCAAACTATCCTAAAAGCTTAAATCCCTGAATTCATTCTCACGCCTAACCCAGCCCTAGTCTCTCTTTCTCTCTCGCAGTGGCAATAACACCGGCGTGTACAGTTCCCCCTCCGATAACAACACTAGCGTAGGCAGTACCCCCTTCGGTGTCTAGGTAACCCTTATCTTCTTATATGCTCTCATTCTCTTCTCTCGCTCTTACACACGCTCATAATCTCTCTCTTATAGATCATCGTTTGCAGATCTCCCATTTTCTCACTCTCTAGCAGTGGTGGTAACTCCCCATCGGTGACAACATTGGTATCTCCAAATCTCCCTCCAACATCCAGGTATAGGTCTCATCATTTCTAGGTCATTTTTTTGAACATGAAGTGAACATTGGACTGAGCATAGTTGGGATTGTATATCTTTTATCGTTCTCCTACTCCCTCATAATCTCTCTTCTCTTGTGTGTCTATAATGAATACATAGGAATTTTTTTTGCTATATATGCCAGTGTGTTAGGTTGATTCTCCTCTGTGTGTCTAGAATGAATACGTAGGATTTTTTTTTAGTTTGGGATCAGCATCATCCAATTATATCATGTCTGTCAAGATCCTCTCCTATATATTTATTTCTCATCAATATATACATGTTATGTATATTTGTACATATGTAATAGATGGTAGTCTATAAATGTTATCTGATATTGAGGGCCCTTTATCTGTTTGAAAAAATTCCTTTGACTAAGAAAAAACTATGTTGGCATAAAGAGGTTACTTTAAGAGCTCCACTCTCTCGTTCCTGTTTTGTGCATATTTCTATTTGGTGTTTATGTGTTAAGAGAGTTTGGATATGGATGGAGTCAGAGAGGTGATAGGGGTGTCGATTGGGTTGGGGTTAGAGAGAACACAATTTAGGATTCCCATTCTATCTCTATAAATATAAACACTGTTTGCAGAATCAAATGTTGTTGGTACTTTGGGCTATGCCTCTAAAACTACAACTACTCCCCAATAGGACTCTCCATCGCCATTTTTGTAACATGTATGGCTCCTCCCTTTCTATAAAATGGTTTTGGAATGGGAATAGATGAAAAGTGTTAAGGGTTTCTAATAGATAAAAGGCATGAAAATGGGGAAATAAAGCAAAAATGTGGGTGTTTGAGTTTCTAACTTTAATTATCCACTATAGTTAGTAAGGACTTTTAATTAACTTGAGTTTATAAATTTCATTATAAAGTAGTGGTTTCTTATTAAGTAAAAATTCGTGATTTATGAAGTTGTGGTTTCTAATTTTGAAATAATGGTTCATTTTTCATCATGATTCTATGGGTGGTTTCCATTCTATTGTGAATGCGCCATTTCTATTCATGACTCATGACCTTATAAATAAATATGATTCATGTTTATAATTTTCTTATTATTTTTTATGATTCCTATGATTCATGTTTTTTTTTTTTTTTCTCCTTTCTTCTCTTGTTCACTTTCTTATGATTTTATGGGTGTGAGCCTACTTCTTTGATTCATAAATGTAAGACATAGATAACGTAGTGGGTAAAAAAATTCAAATCACACATTATGTGATAGAATCCAAAACGAAGAACCTTGTGGGTAAATCATGTGCTTCACAATCACGAACTAAGAACACCCAGCAATGGAGTGATACCACAATATGAGTATCACCTACACTAGTCATAGTGCAAAAGCTTGATCATTATTCAGATGGGAGAGAGTTAGAGAGAGTATGGGAAAAATCAGTCGTTATTTGATTCATGCCCACATCCCATATATTGTATTTGATATATGGACCAAATATCTAACCATCTATCCATATCTCCTAAGGATAGGATAGATATAGATAGATAGTGGAATATCCTAACAAATAGGATAATCAGGAAATCAAAGTTACTAAATTTGCCACCGCCTTCCTTACTTTAAAAAGTTTCCAAGATAGAAAGCTCCAATTTAGCTATGTTTACATCGAAAGAGTGGGTTAGAAGCACCTATTCTACATCTGTTAATGCAAAAAAGGCACAAGGAATAATCTTGGGAGTTACTAGATTTCAGAAAGCAATCAAGTATTACTTAAAGTGTGTGCTCCCTTTGGTGAAAATTTTGAGGCTTGTGGATGGTGATACAAAGTCAGCAATGGGATTTATTTATGAAGCTATGGATAGAGCGAATGAAGAAATTGCTTCAAACTTGAACCAAGTGAGGGGTAGATATAAGCACATTTGGGAAATTATTGATATTTGAAGGGATTTACAACTCCATAGGCCTTTTCATGCGGCGACATATTACCTTAATTCCATGTAAGTTTTTTACTCCTTTTGTCTAATTATTTGTGTGACTTATATACAAAATGTGTAATGAAATTTATTTATGAAGTTATCTTTCTTTCTAGGTTTCATTATCAAGAAAACTTCACAGCATATACGGAGGTGAAAATTGGTTTATTTAAAACCATTGAGAGGATGTCTCTGGATATAGAGGATGGAGTGAAGGTTGATGAGCAATTAGAGAAGTTCAAGAAGGCTGAGGGTATGTTTGGTATGAGCATGGCCATCTTGACAAGGGAAAAGAAATAACCTAGTAAATTTTTTGATTATGAAATTGTGTATTCACAATTTCATAACAATTATGTTGGCATGTATTATTCTCTAACATCTCTTTTATCATTTTATTATAGCTCTATGGTGGGAAAGTTATGGAGAAAAGTGCAAAGAGCTTCAAAAGCTAGCTATTAGAGTGCTAAGCCTTACTTGTAGTGCCACCGGGTAAGAGAAATTGGAGCACTTTTGATCATGTGCACTCCAAGAAAAGAAACCAATTAGAGCAACAACGGTTGAATGCTTTGGTTTTTGTGAAGTATAACGTTCAACTTGAGTTGAGGCAAATTAAGAGACAAGATAAGCGTGAGACTTATGATCCTATTTATTTGCCGAATATGGAATTTGATTATGAATGGATTACTGAGAAAAAGGATCCATGTCTACCCAAAGATCATTCATGGATAGACATCCAAGAGTGCTTTGAAGATGATGAAGGAGCGACAAGTAGCAAAAAGAGAAAAATAGGTATAATTCTATATTTGAAATAAGTTAATTTCAAAGATTTAGTTTCTATATTTTCACCTTTACTTGGTCATTCATAACCTCATTTGTTTTTATTAACGTAGGACCAAGAAATTTAAATGACGATAGAGGAAAAAGAAAAGTATTTGAAGACGATGATAAAATTGAATTGATTGAAGGTGGAGAAGAGGAAGAGGAAGATGAAGAAGAGTTTGATGAAATGACTATAGTAGATGATGATGAAGAGGATAACTCTGATATTGACCTTGAAGATTATGAAGATTGAATAATGAAGAAACGAAGGCTTTTTGGAATTTTTAAATTTGTCTAATCTAACTTTTGTTTTGTATGGTCTCTTTTTTACACAAGTTACAAATATAGATTAGAGTTTTGAAAAGTTTAGAACTTGGTAAGTTGTGAACTTTATTCATGATCATATATTTATAGAATCATATTATAGTGAATGTGGATTGCCATATATATAAGATGTGATGTGAATTTACATAAATTATATCATAAATGCATAGATATAGTATAGGATCATAGATCACGGTGGGGCTTGGATCCACATCTCTGTTGAATGTATAGATAATGAGAAGAAGAAGAAGAAGAAGAAGAAGAAGAAGAAGAACGAGAGAGAGAGAGAGAGAGAGAGAGAGAGAGCTGCTGTATATTTCTTAAGTCAAAAAGCATAGGGTTTCTCCCTTATACACAACTATTTATACTAATAAGGACAATACATAAAGACCAAACTACCCCTAACACTTAACACTTCCCCTCAAGTTGGTGCAAAGATGTCTCTCATGCCCAACTTGCAATAAATAGGGTGAAAGACATTATTACTAAGACCCTTAGTAAAAACATCAGCCAGTTGATCTTCAGACTTAACAAAAAGCATACATATCACGCCCTTATTCAACTTCTCCTTAATGAAATGTCTGTCAATCTCAATATGCTTAGTCCGGTCATGTTGAACAGGATTGTGTGCAATACTAATAGCAGCCTTGTTGTTGCAATACAAAGTCATGGGATCACTCCAATCAAGCCCAATATCACTCAACAAAGATTGAAGCCACATTAGTTCACATGTTCCATGTGCCATAGCCCTGTATTCAGCTTCAGCACTAGATCTGGAAACTACTGCCTGCTTCTTACTACGCTATGTGACTAGATTTTCCCTTACAAAAGCACAATAAACATGGGTAATTTGAATGGGCCATGGGTCATGCCACATGGATGCCCAAATCCTGGTCCAATACTCGGCCCAATTTCCAACAGTAACTAATCACAGTCAATACAGTAATGTAAAGGAACAAGAGTGTCGCAATGAACTCAGCGATTATGGCCCTGTAGAATGACCACTTTCTCAATTCCTCAGCGTCAATCAACGGTACTAGCGGTGGGTCTTGGTAGTCCTTGGATGTGAACTCTCTGTCATGCTCGCCAACTTCAATGTGGGCCCCTGGTATCTCTCGGTGCATGGGGACGGGCTTGTGAGCTGGCAGGCTACTGCACGGGGACGTGTAGCCCTAAGAGGGGTGGATTGTATGGTCCCGGTGTCCCACGTCGGGAATGGAGGGGGAGTTTCTAGGCTATAAAAATAAAAATCTAGACCCTTACATAGCATCGAGGCCTTTTCTTGGGTAATGAGATCCCTAGCAGAACTCTCTAGTTAAGCGTGCTTAGGTTGGAGTAGTTTTGAGATGGGTGACCCATTGGGAAGAACAAATCCATGCGGGTGTAGCCCAAAGCGGACAATATCGATGACGTGTGAAGGGTTGAGGCATTACAATTGGTATCAGAGCTTTCAATGGGTATTTTCGTGTTTTTTTTTGTGCATTAAAATATGTGTATAATTATATATATATACATGATATATGTATAAAAAATTAATATTTTTTTGAACTTTCTCCGATCAACCTGAAAATTATATATACGATCAACCTAAAAATTATATATGTTGTAGTACATTTTATATAGAACATATTTGCAAAGTTTCATGAAAATCCAACGGTTAGATTTCAAGAAAAATGGAGACCCATTTTATATTCCCGAAACTTTACTTTCATGATGGTTTTACATGCTTTAATTTCAGTCTACAAATCTTACATATTTAGAATCCTTGTTTCGAGACCTTCGAAACCATATATTATTTGTTAGATTCGGACTTACAGTTGATAAGAAAAATCAAATCCTAATTTGGGTTTGTTTTGATTTTTTTGTGGCTTAAGAAAGAAGATGAAGTGTAGAGTTTCTGGACTTCCATTCTTATTAGAGAGAGTGTGTGATACACCCCATTATTTGTGTTTGTCAAATGTCATTTTTGAGACCATCATTGTTTTTATTTTGGAAAATGGAGTCCGACAGTACCAAAATTGGACCAGAAAACACCCTAGAAGGCGACGCGTAAGCAGTACCTGCTAGATGACGCCGTCAGCGCTGCCCACGCAAGCGCCATGCGTCACTTGCTGCCCGTACACCCTAGGCACGCTTCTCACGTGTGTGTCGTTTGTACTTCACATGCGCACACCTTCTGTCCTACATTGTAGACTATGATAAGAATTCCTCTTAGGGAGTGAGGTTACTTTAACTTGGGCCTCGTTTGGGAACCCTCCCTTTTAGTCAAAAAGCTAAAAAGTTACTAAATTAGTCAAAAAGTCAATAACTCATACCAAAAAGTCAAAGATTCTCTTTTCTCTCTACTTTTTGCACATCTTTTCGTAAAAAGTCAAAAAGTCATCCCAAACATATTAGCTTTTTTTAGCTCATATTTTAGTCAAATAGCCAAAAGTTACTAAATTAGCCTGTTCCCAAACGAGGCCTTAGGCTATGATTGACATAAGTTTGGAACTTTGATTTTTGGACGTTGTAACCCAACTTCTCATTGGAGAATTGGATAAGTAGATCCGTAGGGATTTACCTTTTACTTTTATGGTGAAAAGTTGGGAGCGCAAAAAGGATTGCTAGTTCCAATAAATCTTTCACGGCCTAAAACAGTTATCCAAATAGTGGTTCTTAGATTTCGTCGAGCCATGATAGGCCAACGATGATTGATGAAGACCACTGAGGCATGATCAATGGTTCAAAAGAAGTTTTTCCTTACATAGTCATTATGAGCCAGGAATTTATATAATTGTCGCCACCTAGGGTTGGCAGTCCTCTGTTTTAGACATGATGGACATGGGTGATGTAATGTATATGCTCGGATGTAAGATCCTAAGAGATTGTTCTGGGGGAATTCTTGGTTTGTCTTTGATGACTCACATAAGGAATATCCTAGAATGATTCTAGATGCGAAATTGCAAGCCCATTAACTTACCCATCGGTAAAAGCTAGAGCCTTAGCTATTGTGTGAATCTTTGGATTGTCTTTGGGAGAAACAGATGACCTATATTCCTTGATCCTTTTTGTTATAGGAGCCTGAAGTACGCTATATAGGCGTATTCGACATGATGAGTGTTATCTTTGGTAAATGGTTAACTGAGTAGTTTAGATATTGACCTTACTTATTATGCTGTGGATAAAATGCTTTACTAGTAGTATATAAAATTTCCCCTTGTAAGATTTAATGCGCTAGTTGGGCGCATCTTGAATGAATGCAAATTGGTCACCAAAATATCTTTAGAGAGGTAATTGCGTAAGAGATAGTGATCTGAAACCACTTCATGTAAGGCGCACATGGTGGATTCCATTGTACATGCTTATCGCAAGAGGTACTGATAAGGCTTATGTTTGGAATCTAGAATTACGCAAACTGTGGTTGTATTTTGTCAATCAATCATTTATTTTTGTGAGATTATGGGATGTTGATACTATTATGGTTTGTGTCATAATGATAAGTAGATAATGATGTTAGCAGGCAAGATTGGCTCACTCACACGAGCAATCGCTCTTGGCGCTTGGGAGCGAGTAAGGACGAGACTAATGGTTTATTTTTATTTGGAGCCAAGGATGTAAGATACAGATAACACAGTGGGTAAAAAGATTCAAACCATACCTTATGTGATAGAATCGGAAACGAAGAACCTTGTGGGTAAATCACGTGTTTCACAACCACGAACTAAGAACACCTAACAATGGAGTGATACCACAGTATGAGTATCACCTACACTAGTCACAGTGCAAAGGCTTGATCATTATTCAGATAGAAGAGAGTTAGAAAGAGTATGGGAAAAATCTTTTGTTATTCGATTCATGCCCACATGCCATATATCATATCTGATATATAGACCAAATATCTAACCATCTATCCATATCTCCTAAGGATAGAATAGATATAGATAGATAGTAGGTTATCTTAACAAATAGGATAATCGGGAAATCAAATTCAAATTACATGGGTAATTTGAATGGGCCATAGGTCATGCCACATGGGCGCCCAAATCCAAGTCCAATACCTGGCCCAATTTCCAACATCTCTCCCTCGCACATGAGTTGGTATGACACTGCCACATCTCTATCTCCATCTCCCCAAATATTGAACAATCCCATACTAGCTAATGATCTATGTGACCGCGAAGAACACCTGCATGTGGAAGCTCTATACTAGAAACTCAAAATGAGCCAACATAGGGACATCAACCCAAAAAGAATAGAAATAATGTCTCATATACCCCAGACCCATCTAATTACACCGGTCCAAAAAATATCTCTAATCTCTCAAAAGAGCATGCTTGACCCTCTCAATTTTTGCAATGTATTCACACTCAATCTGCCTCTCATATAGAGTGATATGAGTTGTCGGCAGTGATATACAACAGTGGTGTAATACTAAATGATCTTCCCTTCGCCCTCATATCATTTAGTTTAAGATTAACTGCTTTCCTAGTGATGTCCCTTAAGGCCAAATCATACATGACCGCAGACAACATACCAAAGTAGCAGAACATCAACCCCTTACCTTATGACATAGTCAAAGGTCACAAAAGGATACATAAGTAAAAGTCATATAAGTAATGACACGTAAGACTCACACGGTGAGAAAACAAGGATCCATTCTCTCACCTCATTACTTGGCCGCCAAGCACATGTAATATGAATACATGCTACGTTGGAGTAACTCTTCCAAAGAGTGACATCATACTCGATACACCGTACAGATCTTAGTCTAGTGGCTTTCTAGCGCCTAACCTGAATTCTTTATTTGCTCGCCTTCTAGGCGCCAAATGAGATCTCGCATCTGGCTAATCATAACAAGCACAACATGGAAAGTGGGTACTACATCCATGTTTGGTTTTTAACATGACCTCATCTTGGTTGTAACCAAGGTGACATACATAGTAGATA